TTACTGTTTACATGATGTAATTAACTGATGTTAATTAGATATTGTTGTTTTATGCTTAGTCACCAGATCAGCAGAGATAAACCAAATAAATATACTATTGTTTTAATGGTAGTCGTGTGGAAATCTTTATTGTCTGCGTTGGGTAATTGTGGCGCCCTCTACCAACCCCCTAAATAGTTGATTGTGGAATCAACTACAAACAGCAAGCTCAGCTTTTGTTGACATTTATTTGTAAATATTAACCTGCATTAAAACCAATTCCATTTTATATTTCTTCATGATTTACTTTGACAATAAATCATCTAAATCTGTATAGATGTCTGTATAGTATAATAATTGCTATTCATTTTTGTGGCTTACTTTGTACACAGACCCTATATATTGTATATAGGGTCTGTGCTTTGTAGTACAGTTCTACTGTTATCCAGTACACAATAGTGTGTAATCATGTATTACAGAGAACTGTATATCATGATCACTCAAGATTGACCCTATCATTAGTTCTTATCAACAAACAAATAATACCCGGGACATTAGGGAAGAACAGTGTAAAAATACTGAGTATCCAGAATAAAGAAAGATTTCTAACTAACATATCAAATATTTGATCATACCTTTCTTAAACATATTTGAAAATGTCTGATGGTTCTCGGCGAACCAGATGACACAGTAAATACTAAGCTCCGCCTCCTCCTCATCTGTGATCTGATATCAACAAAATAGGTCATCTATTTGGTGTTCCAGATACTCTTTACAATTTATTATTATAATTATATTGAGACAAAGGAAGTTTCTTCTTGCTCAAAAAATGAAAAAAATATGTTAATAACTATTGCTATAATTTTAAATGCACCCAGAAATGTTCATATTGCTTTTGATTTTATGCTGCTACAACACCTACAATTGACTTGATATTAAAATACATTATAAATAAACAAATTAAATAAATAATTTCAAATAAAAAAAAAATAATAATGAAAAAAACTGAATGTAATAAAAAAATTCAGTGTAATCTCCTATTCTAGTTATTTCCTCACCTCACAAGTACTCTGCTTGTTGTATGATCCTCTTAAAGACTACCAAGGTTTGCAATATTCTTTCTAGAATTCTCAATGTTTGTTCATACTACTTGCTTCAAACTTTTTCATATTCTACCCCTGCAATGCATGGACTCTGCTGCCATTGTTTGATATGCTGAGGAGGAATTCAAAACTTGACTGGTTGAAAAAGAATCATGTAAGGACAGACAGAAATATTAAAGTACTTTAAAAATATTGGAGTACTTTAACTTTTACACAGATTAATATTGAAGTGCTTTAAATATTTCACACATATTAATATCATTATGATTTACTAAAGTAAAATAGTAATACCCCAGCCCTAAACATATTTTCAAATTTTAATTTTAATCTTCATGATGTGATTCTGTGGGGGCAGGAAGCATCTTTAAAAAAAAGGGGTGTGGGGTGGGGCTGTTTTTATCCTTCAGAAAACAAGGTGCCGGCAGCTTACACGTTTTATATATTCGACATCATGTCTCCAGAATAAGGATCTGCTGGCATTGGTGGCGCTATTTTTAAATTGAGGTATTACTGTATTTCTTTTACATCCAACACCAAGTATCTCACAAATACGGGATGGAATGATGCTTTGTAGGTGTATAAGAGACAGCTTCATGAGAAAACCCTGTGATTGAACCCAGGACCTTTGGGATTGGAAGGTATGAATCTTAACCACCAAACAATTCAGAGGCAAATTAGTTGCACTATGTGGGTTTAGTACTAAAATGACCATTAGAAGTTATATTGTAATTTTCATATTCTCCATTTTTACAGTGTATGAATCATGGATAGCGACACATGTTAAAAGCTTATGAAAATATAACTGTAATTATTCCTGCTGTCGCTCCATGGCTTGAAAATTAAAAGTAGCCAGCAAAAAACTAGAAATAAACTCCAAGCTTATGAATAAATATTGTGGTTGAATTTGATATGACAGCTTACCCTGCAATTCTTGTGGGATAATCTGACTCATGTTTGACGCTCCAACTGAAATTCAACGAAAATCTATTGATATTAATCACAATCATAATCATAATATTTAAGTTAGTAGAATACATCACCTATTTTTTGATAACCTAAAAATTCACAATGAAGACTAAATTACAACTGAAGGATATTTATCCCAAGAAAATATGAATTAGCAAAAAAACTATTTGAGAAACTTTTGTAAACCAAATTTTTCTTAATGCATACAAAAAATGCAATGATACTTATAGCACTTATTCCATTAAGCAAATAATATATCTATTCAACATTACTTTCCACAATGCTCACATTCATATCGTTGATCTCTTCTATGTAGCTTTAAATGTCTTTTCATGACCTAAATGACTAAATTTTTTCCCGCAAAGTTCACATTCGTATGGCATCTCTCTTGTATGTATTCTTAAATGTATTTTCAAAGTGTCATTTCTACTAAACTTCTTTCAACAATGTTCACACTCATAAGGTCTTTCTCCTGTATGTGTCCTTACATGTGACTTCAAAGTGGTACTGTCTTTGAATTTCTTTTCACATTGATCACATTCATATGGTGTTTCTCCTGTATGTAACATTAAATGTGTTGTCAAACGGGTAAAGTGTCTAAATTTTCTTTCGCAATGATCACATTTGTATGGCATTTCTACTCTGTGTATCTTCAAATGTGTTTTCAAATCATGACTGAGTCTGAATTTCTTTCCACAATGTTCACATTCATAAGGTGCTCCTCTTTTATGCATCTTTAAATGTCTCTGCAAATGACCCAATTCACGAAACTTCTTCCCACAAAGTTCACATTCGTATGGCATCTCTCCTGTATGTATCCTTAAATGTATTTTCAAAGTGACCCCTGAATTTGAGTTTACATGCAATACTGTAGTGGTATGTTTACACGGGTGTGAATGTGAACCCCTTGTGCCCTGAGCGAACTATATCCGACGCGAACTAGCGTCCCTGCCAGCAAACGTGTTAATGTTACGTTTGGTACTACAATGATGTGGAGATTACAGTTTCAGTGATTGGCTATGAAGAAACACATTGCTATTATTTTTTTTCTGATGGAAGGTCTTTTATATGATTTATAATTTATCATTCAACTCCAAATTTGACTTCCATGAAGTTAAAATAATGAACAATAGGCTGGATGAATTTATATTCTCAGTCATTTGGTATTGTTTAATTAGTTAAACCAATGATATAGAATCACTGTGGCTTTCTAATCTAAGGCTTAGTTCACACTGAAGTTGAATGTGACAAACTATATACTGGCACTAATTATTAAACTGAGTAATTATCAATCATAAGAATGTGGCTGTGTCGTATACTTTATTACAGAGAAGCTGTAATACCTTTACTCATAACTTGGGCAATTAAGTCGATTCCAGTAGATGGCCCATCATTGTAAAGTTTTGCTGGTTTTGATATGTGATAGCGTATACTGCATAATGTTATGTTATTCAATGTGTTTTCTTTATAGCATTTTTTATGCAACAATCATGTGCCAATTCCGCGACTAACTCTGACGTTCTCTCTGGAAGAGTTGGAACGCATTGATAAGGAGACGCATGTTTACACGGAGCGAATGCACAACATAGCCCGACGCAACACTGTGTCGAAGGAGGAAAAGGTATGATGTGGGTGGGTTGTGAATTGTAATTTACAGAGCTGATCATTTTGGAGTGTTTAATGTCTTGGTGCTTAAGGAGGGAAGTTTTAGGAAACAAGCTCTTAACATCGTACAAATGTTTGATAAAAGTCTGATAAGACATTTTTTGATCTGATCAGACATTTGAGTGCTATGTACTCAAATATTGTATAGTAAAAGTCTGATAAGACATTTTTTGCTCTGATCAGACATTTGAGTGCTATGTACTCAAATATTGTTCAGTTTTATACAGCGAATAGGACTGAGATTTGTGTAATATATTTAATATGAACAATAGAAATGTCATTCACATTGTTACTATACTTTTGGTTTTTGTTCAGGAAGCTAGGTTGAAGAAGGCACGAGAAGATCTGCTGATCCAAGCAAGACGGACTGCTGCACATGAATTGAATAGAATAAGAGGTAATAAAGAAGTCTGTAAACATGCAAATTCCCTATTTTATTTTATTACAACTATTTTATACTATTTTACCTTGGAATAATTTATTTATTTATTTTATATACTGTATGTTTATCTTATAAAAATATCTTGGTTTTCTATTTTTTCATTGCATAGATGCTATTGGCTCTGGAGGTTTAATAATTTAAAAAAATCTTGGTCATAGTGGATTTTGCCTCTATGTTTCAACCATGTTGTTCCGTCCATCCAACACTTATATTTATATATACTCAACTCTGTGAAAGAATATTCCTTAATTATTTCCACTCGGACAGTCATCATACCAAACACAGTAAAGTTAAAAATATTATACCGTACTCGCGCAAATAAGCGCTTATTCAAATGGGGCGCTTATTCGAACGGGGCGCTTATAAAAACAGAGTGAAAATTGAGGGGGCGCTTATGGAAATAGATGAAAATCGAGGGGTTCTTATGAAAACTTATTATATCCAAGAGGCACATTTTGAATGAAAAACGATTAAATAAGGACATCAGGAAACTGCAAATTACGAATGGTGCTGCGGCGGAAAAGATAATTGTCCAGAGAGCATGGCTTGTCATGACAAGAATGTTGTGAGTACAGTATTACATAACAGCAGAATAGCAGATGAAATTAGTGGTGGTGGTAAGCTTGTTTGCCATCGGTCGATTGAGAATAGCAGGACGGCATGATCATTGCAGGTTTTCTTGAAAACTTAGATGTGATTGTGTTAAAGGTGCAAATTGTCAGAAAAGAAGTAGTAGGACTAGGCTATAGACAAATGAAAGTCTAAGAAGATGAAAGTTTGAAATATACTGTCTGTCCAGGGAGCTCTCATCATTCTGTCAAAGATAAATATCCTCACTTTGATATTGACTAAAGGAGAATGTGATTCCACTCCACACCTCAAATCATGCCAACATCCACAGTCCCAGGATTGATTGGGTTATTGAGGGGGTGTTTATTCAAATTAGAAAGGGGCGCTTATTCAAATGGGGCGCTTAAGGAAATTTTTTCGTTATGAGGGGTGCTTATTCGATAGGGGCGCTTATTCAAACGGGGCGCTTATTCGCGTGAGTACGGTAAGTGCGGCACTGCTAAATGCCTTGCATGCTGCACTGCTAACTGCCATATATGCTGCACTGCTAACTGCCATATATGCTGCATACTATCATACATGATGCAATGCTACTACCATACGTGCTGCACTGCTAACCGCCACAGATGCTACAGCCAAATTTACAAAATAAAAAATTGTATTTTTGGTTTAGCTTCAGCTGTTTATTGTCAAGGAAATATAAAGTGGCATGGTAAGGAAATACAAAATGTATATTTTAATATATTCAAATTGATGAAATTGGTGGTTGAATATTAACATTCCTAGTACAGTACCGTACTTAAAAAAATAAAATTTTTACTAAGAGAAAATTGACAACAAATAAGAGAGGAAGCAAACTTCTATAGTAAGATAATTATTCAAAAAGTATAATAAAATATTAGTATCAAGTTATTGACTTAAGCAGCGTTCGATTTACCATCGCATTACAAACAATTGCAACGCAATTATTTGCCTAGAATTAACCACTCAGTCTTCAGCCAGGCCTGACTGTAAAAGAGGCTTGGTGCAAAAAAAGTCCCGAAAACTTTTTAAAAAAAGTCAAGTTGTTATCCAATGTTTTGGACCAAAAATTGCACAATGCTTTTTACATCGAGTTCACACATACAATGCTCCCTACATGTACATAAACCATTGTTTTACTTAAATAGTTTTAGTGTTGAAAAAGACGCATCATTGAGACTTTCTTATTGAAAAGTGTCATTTCTTTCTTTAATAATCATTCATTATCACCGCAGAAAAAAATGCTATGCACAATCTTGGAATTGCTATATATATATTCAATAATGCTTTTTACAAATTATCAGTGCCAGGTTGTAAATACAAGTGGTTTTCTAGCAAAAGATGCGTAGGCAGGTTGCACACTAAGGGTTGTTGCAGACTACAAAAAATTGCTGTCGGGCTACATGGGGCCCATGCTCTGCAATATGCCCACCTGTCACCGAGTCGCTGATTGGTCAGATTCTATATCAAATTAAATATTTTGTTATATAGTTGCATCGCGTTCAGGGTGGATCGTCATTTTAAAATATGATCTGAGAGCTTTGAACATCGATAATGTGAACAGATTTTGACATCATTACTCTGGTAAATTCTGAAAAAAAAATCCTAAAAAATTGAAATATTGAATGCATATTTAAAAGGATTAAATACTGAACTTTCTATGGCATGTTTATGGGTCTGTGCAAAGACTATATACTTAATATAGTATTCTTTCACAAAGAAGAAATAAGAACTTTGGTTTTCGGTTTTCTATTACAATTTTTTTTTCATTTTTTAGGAGCCTTAAATTTAACAATTCAAAACTGATGGTTTTCCAGTGATATATGCTACACTGAAAAACTAATGACAGATATGTTGTTATTGCTAAGTTGAGGAAGCCATGACATCACACAAGTCTTCAACATCACCATGTGACAGGATATATTAAACACTTAGACAATCACTGATAGTCTGCAATAATGACATTCTGACCAATGAAACAGCTTGATAAAACTTCCTTTTATTTGCATTGGCAACTTGCCAGGTTGAATGTCTGTTTTGGGATGTTGTATAGTCCCTTCAGCCTTCACTATAAAAATCATTAAAATTCAGTCGTAATAAGAACTCCTCCAAATGTGGTTGGTAGCCCCTGGTCACAAGCTTTGAAACAACTGTAAAAGAAGAACGAAGATAAACACTTTTGCTAGTAAAATTGTAAAACAAATTTCCATGGAAATTAAATCAGGAATAGAGTTAGCTGTAGAAAGTGAAAGTTGCAAAAACATTTTTATTTCAATAATTGAAATTGTCAGATATGTGCAGCCACGTGTAATGCTTTGTCAAGACTCACATTTTATTAGACAAAAACATGTGATATGCCTAAATATGGTCATGATGACATCACATCATGATGACATCATCACATCACATCATATATAGGCACATCATGACTATATATGGGCATACAACAGTTTTTTTTCAAAGAAAATTTGATAGTGTGAACAGACCTTAACTGCAAAAGTGCTCAAGTATTTTTACTGAAAACTAAGTATTAATTCCTGGTTACAATTAAACAGCGAAAGTAACCAAAGAAGTTAACATTTGGTAATTGTGATGGATGTAAACTTTAAAGCACATAATACTAGGTCTCTATGCGCATTCAAAAAATGTCCAAAAAAAGTTGAATAAAAGAACCAAATAAGATGAAGAAGAAGCTGTAGCATATTTGAGTATAGCCTTGCTACTATTATTGTTTATGTTATATGCTAATTAGTTGTACGATATGTGCGGAGCTAATTATATGCGAACGCGCGGGCATATGTTTTGTTGTAATAAAATGGTTGAGTTACAATAATGTCTTGTTGGACTGCTCTGTTGGTTATTCGAGAGAATACACTACAGAAACAAAGGAAAAGGAACAACAAAAACCATCAACAAAAACATATATGTAACATATATAACATATTTATCAGGGGATTTTCCCTAATCATAGGTGGAAGAGCCATTGTTGTATTTTCACTTTTATGACTTGACTATTACAGTGATGTTATTCCTGTTTTACAACAAGTGGCCTACACTAGATTAATAAAAAGCAAGACTTGTAGATAGATAGGTCACACAAACCTTACCCTCCGTTTTTTGAAATAATACAAAACAAACACAACTTTTAGGTTATTTTTTACCTTTTTATCACTTTGCTCAAATGTTGTCCAAATACCCCCCACTCTACATAGGTGAATTTCGTAGCCTGTGTTATAAGTGGAAGCACCTGGCCTATAAAGGAGAAGGATCTCCCTAGGGGAAAAGTAGGGACTATGCAGGGGGGGGGGGTGCTGCTGTTTGAGATTTTTGTTTAGAAATGCTTTTACCAGACACTGGGTACATGGAATTTAAATTGAATATTAGCTTGTTTTTAAGTACTGTGTTCTCCTCTTTCACCTTTATTTTCTTTTCTCCTCTCTTTTTTGCCCCCTATCCTTCTTTGGGGGTCGTTTCCCCTTCTCTTTTTCCCTTCTCTTTTTCCCCTCTCTCTTTCCTTTGGGGGTCATTTCCCCTGCAACCACCCCTGCACCTATACAGGTTAGTATATGCTCCCACACTAAGAAAGTAGCCACAGTGTATATAAGAGCTGCAAGATCTCTCTCCCTGAAATTGAATAGAAAAACCAACCTTTGTACAAAAAGCCAGAGTACTCCTTGAAGGCCGAGTAAGAAGACCTAACGGTGTGAAATGCTGGGTGGACTACTTGATGGATATCAGGATCATAGTACCAGCGCGAAGACACCAGCTGGGTCCACACCTTCAGAATCAGACAGAAGATCTTGGTGATGATCTTCATCACTGGTGCTGCTTTCTTGTTTAGTAAACATCTGGAAAATAATAGACAAAATAATAAACCTCATTAGAATATAAGGCTTGCCATCCAAAAACGTGCATCAATGACCACAAAATGAAAATTGACTTTTCAAAATATATTTTTATTTTCCATTATTGTAAGCTTTAAAATGATGGGTCATTTTAGTGGAATTGACTTTTACTATTGCAAAAATTATGAGTAAAAGTATTATGACTTCTTTGAAATTATACAATACTGCTACTGTACATTCTTGCGCTAATTACTCAATTAACGACGGTACACTAGTTTTGGAACGGCAAGCTTCATGAGTTTTAGCGTGTGTTATGTAATGTAGACACTATGTTGACTGCTATATGCGAGTATATTCCTGTTATTATTATGCATAGTATTTTGTGTAAACTACATTATTGTAGCTCCACCAGTCGCTATAGGTTCAATACCATCTGCAACAGCTGTTGGGAATTGGGAGCAAATGCAGCTTGACCCATACAAAATGTGTATAATATTATTTTACATATTCTTGACATACTTTAACATACTGTCGAAATACACAATAAACAATAAATAAATAATATAAATATTATTACAATCATAAATTTTTTATAACCTTTTTGTTTACAAATGCAGTGTAACACACACGCATACACACTCATCTTACGTACATCAAACATTCATTACAATGCTTCCTATGCTACATACATGGGAACCTAAAGTAAATGCTAAAATAGAAATGAAAATAATAAACTGTATCCACCTGAAAAGGGCTTTGTTGAGATACTCCACATGTCTATTATGAAGATCATCTAAACTCTGAACCTTAATAGTGGAAAGAAAACAATAACAAAATTTAAGGTACACGATCATTTTTGGTTCCTCCCTTCAGTAGCGCCTTGAGCATTACTGCAGTGGATATGCATGCTTTATCAATCTTATTATTAAGAATTAAAAATGCGGACGATTCAAGAACGTAGACAGGATTTTAAGGGGGGGGGGGCTTCTATCTTTTTTTTTTATATATATATAAAAGAGCACTCCCACAAAATAAGGTCTCTTTGTCCATTCAGGCTGTAACTTACATCTGTCTTCAATTGACCTTTGAACTCTTCCCAGCTGACGTTGACCACTTGGTTTGCAATGTAACCTTGCATTACATTTACAAAGTGTTGCATCTCATGTCTAACGAAGCACAAAACAAATAGTAATTTAACAAAGGATAGTCGTCTATTATATATATTAATATTTATTAATAATACAATTATTAATATTTTTTTCTAGTTTCCGTGTCATTGGATTAACATGCAATGAACCCTTTAAGAGTGCCAATCAAGCTTAACAACTGACCAATCGAAAAAGAGCCTGGAATATGCGCGTCTAACAAGCACACATAGTGTCTCACAAACGCTTATGTCAAGTTTTAAAACTGCCGTTCTAATATTAATAATAATAATAATAATAATAATAATAATAATAATATGTTAGATTTATATAGCGCTTAATGCCAACAAGGCCTCTAAGCACTTCACATTACAACCCCTGGTTATTGGATTAAACGCCTATGGATGGAACACAAACTCAAGCTTCCTTGGGGGAGTATTCCATAAAGTTGCAGCAGCTTCATCAGTGCATTTTGGCATTTAACCCTACCAGGTACCCATTTATACTCCTGGGTGGAGAGAAGCAACGCAGATAAAGTGCCTCTTGGAGCAGGGCTTAGCCAAAAGGACCATTAGCCATACACTACAACCTTCTTGACTCCCTTGGTAAGTACAGCTGAACTTGCCAAAGTTAAATCCAATAGGCCATTGAAATATTGTTCAACTTAGATAAAATTCGACTTACAGATTGTAAATAATTGGTAAACACAACAATTTGGCATGTAAAATTAAATGGATTTAAAAATTATTCAACTTAAGGCAAGTTTAACTGTACTTTAAGCTGGGCAAACAATGCATCTGGTATTTAATCGATATTTACAAGAATAATTCACCATGTCAGTGATTCTTCACAGACTTACAATTACTCAATAACTAATATTTTCTTCCACACTACTCTTTTCCTCTATTAAAAAATTAGATCTCAATAAATAAAGTGAAATACTTATTCTAATTTAAATGTATTACACTTATATAGTCATGCATGAATTTAATAGATATCTACAAGACTAATTCACCATGTCAGTGATTCTTCACAGACTTACAATTACTCAATAACTAATATTTTCTTCCACACTACTCTTTTCCTCTATTAAAAAATTAGATCCACTAAATAAAGTGAAATACTTATTTTAATTTAAATGTATTACACTTATATAGTCATGCATAAGAATGATTTAAGAGATTTATAAAAAGGCAGGGATTTCAATACCTGAACAGCTGCAGCTGTCGGAACTGTGCCGAGTTGCCAGCATGATGAATTAATGCTGAAAATAAATATGGAAAATTTTAAATAAATATGTTATTAAATGAAATATAGCTAAAGCCCTGTCAAGCTATCACATTTTATACAAATACATCTGACATACCTAAATATGGTCATGATGACATCACATCATGACCATATATAGACACATTATGACTATATATGGCCATACAAGTCAAATTCAAAATGCCATTGAAATAATTGTTCAACTTAGATAAAATTTGACTTACAGATTGTTAATTAATGGAAAACACAACAATTTGGCACATAAAATTATATAGATTTAGAAATTATTCGTCTTAGGCAAAGTCGACTTAGGGAATAACAATACTAATAATAATAATAATAATAATAATAATAATAATAATAATAATAATAATAATAATAATAACAATAATAACAATAATAATAACAATAATAATAATAACAATAATGTGTCATTATAAAGCATTATATTGCAATAAATTGCCTTTATGTGATTTACATTATTACCCCCCCCCCACCTGGATCAAACACTATGGAACACATCCTCAATCAATCCATCAAAAACAATTTGGCATATAAAATTATATCGATTTAGAATTCAAAATGCCATTGAAATAATTGTTCGACTTAGATAAAATTTGACTTGCAGATTGTTAATTAATGGAAAACACAACAATTTGGCATATAAAATTATATAGATTTATAAGTTATTCGCCTTAGGCAAATTCGACTTAGGGAATAATAATAATAATAATAATAATAACAATAATATTATTTCCCCCCCCCCCCACCTGGATCAAACACTATGGAACACATCCTCAGCCGCCTGGGGAGAACAATTCCATAAGCGACTAGAATGAGAACTTGGTATTCAATCCTTCCAGGTACATTAAGGCCTGGTGTTGGCGACACCTGCATTAAACCAAATGAAACCGATGTCTAACCAACAATTATCAACAATTATTTTAAAAAAATGTGAAAAATACCCAATTATAAAAAATGGTCAATCAATGAACACCATGCCTCCAGTTTATAAGTGCCTGGTTCATATCCTTTTTTTTGGTCAAGTTTAAGGGGAAAAATATCCAAAATGTGCACCTTGCAATATATGCCTGGCTTCTCATACAGCCCCTAATACTAACATACGTAAACATATTCCACTAACCACTTCTTTTTAGTTGGAAGTATATATCCCTCAACACCCATGATGCACGCTTCAATTGTAACATAAATGAAAACACACGGTTGTACTTTTCCAAGCACCCAGTGGTGATTACAATATTACATGGCCAGTCAATCTGCAATAAAAAATTTAAAAAAAACTGCTTAATTATTTATTATTCTATTGTTGACAGCTTAATTAAAATCCAGAAATATCATTTTCTTTGCCTTCTAATCTACAGATGATGGTCATAATGATGAATGATGATGATCATTACAACAAAAGATAATGATGATGGTGGTAGTGATGATGAAGATGATGATGCTGATGATGATGATGATGATAAATGATTATATTTTACATAACTGTACTATATGTATGCGACATCATGGAAATATTCCTATGCCTATTACATCAATTAAATGAACCCCAACATGGTGCATTCTATCAATGCTAATATCTACATTGGACTATTCCATTAAATATAGAAGGTGTTTATTTAATAAAAAAAGGAAATACAGTAAGGATAGTACAGCAACAAATTAATTAGTTAAAGAAATTTACCTTGAATTTAAGTTCCAAGCCATCCAAACTATCAATTGCTTTGATGAAAAATTAAAAATAAATAATCATATGAGTGTTTTCGTAAAGGGGTATTTTAAGCATGTAAATATAAGTAACAGAATAATAATGAGACATAATCAGCAACATTATCATCATTATCATCATCATCATCATCATCATCATCATATGATGAAAGTCAGCACTTTCCTCTTACAAGGAGCAGTTTTGTCCATCACTAGGTTAGCGATGCTGGAGCATCCTCCATGAACTCATCCATGCTTTAACAGGTTTTATTTTTAATCCTGCCAGAGGTCCACAAACCCTCCTCACCAGAGTTGTTCCAGGTGGATGGGATGAGCCGGTTTAGTCTCCAACCGTCCGACCATGAACAGGAAGGACAGTACTTGTTTACATGGTTACCAGTAGCAGGTAGAACCTAACAGCATAATATAAATATTTATTACTTTTACACCTACCGTTGGGTTTGAACATGTTTGGCAGCCATTTTAGTGAGAAGCTGAGCTTATCAGCATGGGTTGACCGTCTGTTGAGAGATTGCTGGATAGCTTTGGATAAGATCTGGTTCAGTACCATAGGTGTGAACAGTTCACCTGGCCTAAGCCCTTGAGCCAGCTGATAATAAAAATGTATATTCCATTTATGATATGATATCTTTTATCTGTCTTATAGTTGGTTTATATTTCTAATGAAATTAAATTAATTTAATCCAGGCTTCAAAAAAAAAAAAAAAAAATGTGAAATGTTCCACAAATGATTTTTCTAATATAAAGATAATGAAGGGGAGTTTGAACTTGGGAACAGGATTTATTTATACATCATTTTCCACTTAAAACTTAAGACTGTTCAGCCTTTTTCCATAGTTTCATCCCATATAGCAAGACAAAGTGAAAACCATCCCATTAACTGTAATGAAACATGAACAAACATATGTGGCAAAGACAAGCCAAACCAGTCACTCATTGCAAAATTTATTTTTGAGTTATTAATACAGGGATAAAAAGTAAAATAAGAACTATAAAATGGTAAAAAAAAAATAATTCAAATCCAACATTCCCTTATGAAGTTACAAGCGTTTAAACATACAGCTGTTTAAACAACGATATATGAGAAATCAGCCTTTAAGTTTATGATTTCAGGCATTTCTCATGCAGATCATCAAATCCTTAAAAAGTGTTGTTTTAACAATGAAAATGGGGGAAATAACAGCAAAGAATGATGTATAGATAAATAAAGATTAGTGTAGCGCAATAAAACAGATTTTAAAAAATATGACATTCCAGCATGTTTTGGCCATTTCCTCTGAAACACAATTTGCAACGAGTGACTGGTTTGGCTTGTCTTTGCCACATATGGTGTTAATTTTCAGATAATTATTTCCGCGTTCTTCCTTGAATCTCCAGGGTGGAAGTTCACATTCTGGTGACCCCTGAATTTGAGTTTACATGCAATACAATACTGTAGTGGTATGTTTACACGGGTATGGATGTGAACCCCTTGTGCCCTGAGTGAACTATATCCGACGTGAACTAGCGTCCCTGCCAGCAAACGTGTTAATGTTACGTTTGGTACTACAATGATGTGGAGATTTTCGTCACCTTTTCAAATAGTTGATCACAGAGGGACTGTCCGAATTCACCATCTTGTAAAAACAGGAAGCTACGAAGGGTTTTGAAGTAATCATCAATGTTTAGGTCCACTATATAATAGTCTAAAATGCACTTATTAACCAAATCAATCCTGTAAAAAAAAAAAAAAATCATAATTTTCTGGTCTTGCTTTTAATATATTTACCTTTTTCAGAATTTAATAAATCAATAATCAAGAATATTCATGTCGTAGATCAAACAATTAAACGATGAATATTATTCAGATTATAAAAATATCATCTTTAAGCTAAATTGCAAATGATAAATGATAAATCATGATTACAAGTAACATACACTGTGAACC